TAAATGGGCTTGAACCAGTTAAATAAACAATACATGTTCATAAACAAGTTAAATGGCATGCAATTGTTGATGGAAAATTGAACCAGTTAAATCATTTAAATCGTTTCGAAAACCAGTTCGGCGCAGAGTTGTATCAGAAAGCTTTCTGCTTCGACCAATCAGAAAGACGCAAAAGCTTTCATTTGACACGCAACGTTCAAAAAATTTATATTCTGAAAAATATTACATTAAAAATTATCAAAAAATATCAAAATTGTATGAATGTCTGCCCGCCAAAAAAGAGGCCAAGGCGGTAATTAGTTATTTTCCAAGAGGTCTCATCGAACGCAGAGATAAATAGTGCATACGAACTAAACATTTTGAAGCCTCTAAGTTATCCGTATGCGTTAATATCATGAAGCAGACATACGCACAAAACAAATTGAAACACAAAAACTTGATTTGAAATATTTTTTTTGAATCTTTGTTGGTAATCAAGCAACCGTCAAAGTTAACTCCAAATGTTCAATGTGGACGATTGTGTTTTCCAAAAAGCTCTTTTTCATTTAACAAGTTAAATGGGGCCAATTTGAAAGTAATATTAGATATGTTCCTTCATATATAATAAATCAAATTTTGCTAAACAAATATATTGTTTTACTCCATTGAAAATGACAGTTGTCAACCGAAAAAGTTTGAATAAGATATATATTTCAAGATCAATGAGCCTTAAAACAGAGTGCGTTTAATTTGTGGGAAATTTTCCTTATTTCTAGAGAAATTGACAGCCCCACCGATACGTAAGGTTTTAATTAGACACGCAATTCGTGATTCGCATGTATAAAACCTTATTCAGTGGCATTTTTAAAGATTATCTTATTTTTAGAAAAATTAAGCTTATTTGTAAGCTGTCAACTCTGAGTTTTAATTTGACATAAAATTCGCTATCCCCATGTCTAAAAACCTAATGTTGTTGTTGTTGTAGCAACATACAAGTTCCCCAAAGGGTTTTTGGGGAGTGTTGCTGGAGTGACAGTCCTTGGCCAGATATAAATCTGGGTTGTTCCGATTACGTAGACCCGACTGTCGTGGGAACGTCTAAAAACCTAATCACAGCTGTCGACTGTCAAACTTTTAATTTGGCAAAAAATTCGTGACTAGCAGGACTAAAAACCTAAT